TAAACTGAGGTACAAATTTATACTGAAAACTATAATTTCGTGTGCTGCCCTAAAATGGGAAAAGAGAAAGAGTCAGGGAAAGAGGGAGACGAGGAGAAGAGGTTGGAAGGAAAGGAGAGAGAGAAATAATTTGAAAGTGTCGGTATTAAAAAAAAAAAGTTGGAAGAAGCCCTGTGCTTAGGGAATTATCATTAGTCTGAGTTTATCAAAACCGGTTTTTTATTCCTATCCCTAGTTATTCATTTCCTTCCATTTGGCAGTCGAAGCAAGACTTCCTTTAGCTTTAATTCATTAAATCAGCTGATGCAGACCTTAAAAGTTTCCCACCATATTTGTTGGTTAAAAAGACCTTGGAGGTTTCTAACAGAGATGCATTGGAAGTTTATTGCAGGGACTCATCTAAAATGAAAATTAACCCTTCTTATAACATCCTTGTCATAGCGATATATCTGCATTAGAAAGTGGTACTGGCAGTGCTGTGATAACTACATTTTGTTAGCATGGAGGCTTCCTAACCTAGCTAGTCAGCGGTGGACTTGAAGCAGAGATTTTCCAAAACTCCTGGTCTCTGGGGAAGTAAACTTGCAACAAGTGAATTGGTTTTATGTCATCATTGTGTTCAGTCTACAGTTGTCCTTTGGTATTTGTGCGGATACCAAAATCCATGAGTGATCAAATTCCTTGTATAAAATGGTACAGTACATCAGCCCTTCTTATCCACAGACGCCGACGGAACTTGCAGGTATGGAACCTGCAGTTTTGGAACCTGTGGATATGGACGGTGACTGTACTGTATTCTTTGTGGGGTTTTAATGCTCAATTTTTCCCTTCTCCAAGTGGGTCCTGTGTCCATTTGACTCAGCTCGTTAGTCTTTGATAGCTCCCTTGCTTTCTGACTTAAATTTTATACTTCTTGCTCCTGATCAGGAATGAGCCATTTATCTAAGGAACCCTAGTTCTGTTTGGTAGGAATGGTATTTAGCTGCCACAACCTAGGTGCTGATTTGCTCACTTCTATTGGGTTGTCATTGCTTTGTGACCTTTCAATGAATAGTGCTAGGAAATAGGTATTATTAAAAGAAAAAAAGTAATGAGATCATTTACTATTTCCAATTGAAATTCAACATTACAGACATTTTACATCTTCGATTTTGTACTTATATCTTTTCTCTTATACTGAAAATTTTGGTTTCTTAACTACATTAACATAATTGTTTACTTTCATTGTCCTGCAATATAGAAAGCAATATCACTGTCACTAACCAATTACAAAGTGAAATTTAAGATTTGCTGGGGGTTTTTCCCCCCATTTGTTGGGGTTTTGTTTTTATTTTTATCCTTAGCATCTATTCTAAGATGAATATTTCATATGTGTGTTTTTAGATGTCCTCGAAATAATTTTTTCCTCTGTATGATTTTGTCACCAACCTGGAATATAGTCGGTCTTATGTTTTAATTTTTTTTCAACTTTTAGAGTTTGCTTTTTTATTTTCAGTTTCATTTTTGAATATGTAAAATGTTTATTTCCAAAGTAGAAATTGCATAACAGAGTATATTCAGAGATACCTCACTATTCCCTCTGCACACTTCCCTTCCTCTTGGAAATAAAATTGATTATTAGTGTTTGGTTTATCATTTCATTATTTCTTTTTGCAAATGCGTGGGTACTACTGTCACACACACATGCGCGCGTGCGCGCGAAACTCACTCTACTGTCCTGCACCTTGCTTTTTTCTATAAAGTTTCCACTAGAGAGCTAAAGGCACATCAGGAAAGGCACGTTGGTATCACATCCATATGTGTGTTTACTCATAACATCCATTCTTATATTTCCTGTTTTTTTGGTCTCATTGAGTTTTTAAAATTTTGTAAGTAATAACTGAATTTTTTTAAAAAAAATTCAGAATGCCGAAGTGTGGACTGTAGAAGTTATTCACCCGTTTAACCACACACACATTCATAACTATTTATGTACAGTAAATCTCAGTATCCTCAGGCCCTTCTCTGTCAGAGAAGAGAGGACATTTGTTATTAAAATGTAATTTTTGATTGTTATATTAATAATTTTTTAGTTATTGTGCTAATACATCATTATTTATCAATTCCTACACATCAGACAAAAGTTCATAAATTCTCAAATATAGTGTAGCAAAGTTGTTTTCTAGTATCTGGTATGAAGATAATAAAGCACTCATTAAGTATAAATAATAGTTACTAAATAGAAGTTTTATTAAGCATAAATTAATACTCTTAAACAGGAATTAATAAAGTACCCATACTGATTATAAAGTACTCCAATGTAATTGCTTGAGTTTTATCTTTGGAACTATCACTTTGTAGCACCTTTTTCATTTTTATCTTGAAAATTGGAATAGAAAGATCAGGTTTTTCTCACCCTATCCTCCCCAAACAAGAGCTCTTAAATATTTATTCTTCTGTTATTCCCTGTGATTCGAGAAAATACTAAGTTCATAATGCCTATTTGCTTTATTTACCCTATTTTCTTCTTTCTAGGTATTTTTTGATTTAATGAGGGAAATTCGAGCCAGAAAGATGGAAGACAGCAAAGAAAAGAATGGAAAAAAGAAGAGGAAAAGTTTAGCCAAGAGAATCAGAGAAAGATGCTGCATTTTATAATCAAAGCCCAAACTCCTTTCTTATCTTGACCATACTAATAAATATAATTTATAAGCATTGCCATTGAAGGCTCAATTGACTGAAATTACTTTAACATTTTGGAAATTGTTATGTATCACTAAAAGCATGAATTGGAACTGCACTGAAAGTCAAATTCACTTAAAAAAAGAAATTAATGTGGCTTCACCAAGAAGCGAAGTTCAGCTTATTTCATAATTGCCTACATTTATTACGGTCCTGAATGTAGCGTGTGAGCTTGTGTCTCTCGGGCTGTCTTTCTTGAACTGTTAAATAAAGAAGCGAGATGGGGGTGGGGAATGGGAGGAAAGGCTACTTCCTCTGGTGTTTATTATAAAGCTTAAATTTTATATCATTTTAAAATGTCTTGGTCTTCTACTGCCTTGAAACATGACAATTGTGAACATGATAGTTAAATTGTACCACTTTTTTTAACCATTGTTATGCAAAATATAGAAAAAAGTTATTGGCATGGTTGTCACATATAGTTAAATTGAGAGTAATTCATCTGTAAATCTGCATTAATTACCTGGTGATTGACTTAGAAAAGTGGTGTAAACTTGTCCATGGAATTTTTGAATATGCCTTAATTTAGAAACTGAAAAATACCTGGTTCCATCATTCTCGGTGTGTTCTCAGTGGCATTTGTGGGCCCACTGCCCCATGTGTCCTGGTGAGAGAGTATATGCCTAGTTTGGAGTACAGCTTTTGTAGAGAAGATTCTTGAGAAATAGCTGTCTGCTAGGAGTCTGTCCAAATTTAAAATGTGTGCCATACTCTGGTTCTTGAAAATAAGGTTCCAGAGCTGCTTGATTGCTTTTAATAAACTATAGTTTAAAACGAAGGGCCAGCATGTACTTGTAAGATAATGTTAGACTACAAGGATTCAGCACCTGTTGTGTTTGAACCCTCTTTTCCTCTAAGATGCTGGTCCCTGGAAATTACATTCTTCAAGTGGTGAGCATGTAAGTGTTAAGTTCTTAATCTTCTGGAAGCAGGACATGGGGGAAAAAATGTCAGTAGTGCTAATGCATTTTGTACTAGAACACTTCGGGAAGATATTCATGCTTGCCACCTGTTCGTTTCTAAATTTGTACTCGAGGTTACAGTTTGGCTTTACAGGAGTTGTTAGTATTTGTAGTCTGTTTATGTTTGTAACAAAGAACACTCGGGTATAGTGCAGACAATATGTTTGGCACACACAGACCAAATATTGGGCCGTGTCACCAGTGTGTGGTGTTCCCACCGGGAGAATTCTAGCACACCGTTCGGGAACATAACTTCAATGGGAAATATACCACTGTCAGATTTTTCTTTTCCTCTTTGGAATGAGGCTAGGACAGTTGATTCAACAAAGTTTTTTCTTTCTTTTTGCTTAGTCCTAATTGCAACATATCAGAGATGTGCTCAGGCATTCC